ACCAGAAGATATCCGGTCGGCAGCATGCTAGTTCTAAAATGCACGTCCGGGAGGAGGTACTCGAACCACCTCCCGTCGATGCATCCTTCCTTCGCAGCCCTAATAATATATTTATTTCGGACCCTCGACGCCACACCGTCGGCTGTAAAGGAAGGCCTATCTGGGTCACCGCTCGTGGCAGCAAGGGGGCATCCACCATCACGGCAGCTACCCCGCTTACGATGCCCCCCGTAAAGGGGATCCGCTCAATGATTTCATCTATGAACCGTTCGACACTACCAAATTCGCTCCCAAAGTCATCGCCCGGTTCGCATCTCTCCTCGACGTCTTCAATATCCCTAAGCACAGAGCTGACGCCGGAGGATGAAAAAGTCCATGAGATCTCCACCACCGAAGGGGGGTCAGAACGAATGACAGAAGAAGAATCCTCTCGACTGGGTGAACTTTGGGCCATTGTTCTGGTAATTAAAAGGACAAGAAGCTAAGTTAAAACCCTAACGTCGAGAGGAAGAAATGACGACTACTCTAAATGACGACTACTCAAACGCCTCGACTTGACGTCGACCATTCATATGAGAATGATAACGGCGAGTGTTCAGGAGAATCACGGGTTCCCCAGAACCCAGAAACCGGTGACACACAGACAATAAAAAATATATAAAGACCAGGTCATCCAGTGCGGCAGAACACAACGAAGTAAGTCTCCTTAGCTTCTATATTCTCATTTTTGTGCATATATTTACATATTCCAAATACACAACGGGGGAAACCCCGTGAGTACACAAAGCAAGAGAAGATCCAGAAACTTACCGGTGAAGAAAGATTTCCGGGAAAAACTCAAAGTAAGGACGGCTTCGCAATGTGCCACGGAGGGTTAGAAGTGTGAAGTCGGAAGTCCAGTAAAAGAGATTCCGGCAGAATGCAGCGGTTCAACGAGAATGCAACAAAAGTTTGAAGTTTTGGAGAAGGAAAAAATGGCTCTCAGGTTCATGAGGTATATTTAAAGAGAGCGACATCCTCGACCCCAACCGTTGGATGAAAATTTCAAAATCCAACGGCGAGGGATTACTGCCCGGATCTGACGGTGATGGAAAAGGGCAGGAAATCGAGAGGTTGCATATCCAACGGTCCGCGTTCATCTTCTCGAAGTACGGCTATACATCATTACGCGAGATCAATCGACGCGACGGTTACGTCCCCGAAGCTTCCAGGCCATCATTACGGACGAATGCTCGGGACCGGTTTCCCACACCCGAAGCACGAAAGGACAACCGAACCTAGAGCTCGAGGCCGCCTAAAAGGAGCCCTCGACTTGGGGGTAGCTGTTGTGTGGGAAAATGTGATGGACACCTGGATCAATGACACCACGACACGTGGCCATAACCACTCTCTGCCAAGCACACAACCCTCGACGTCTATGTTTCCCTCCTAATCAGCTGCAAATCCCAAAAATGAAGTCCGACGACCCCTTGTGGCGCCGACGGATAATGCCGCCTAAATTAAGGTGTGGAGATTCCTTGACCGCAGAAAGGGTCGCCAGAGAAGACGAATGGGGCTAAAACGGTGCTGGCGATGAGGGGAACGTTCTTTTAAGACATGGCGGGTTGCGTGCAAAAATGGAAGACGTCTGTCAGCATTAATTACAAACTCTCAAACCGCCCCACAGGGGACAGGAAAGCATTACGGAGAATCACAGAGCCATAATAGAAGACTAATTGGCTGAGTGAATAGTGCTGATTAGTGGGCTACATCTGGGCCTACCAAGGGAGAACACTTGAGTGCT